ATGGAAAAAGTGGCTGTTGAGAGATCAGCCGTGTGTCAGATTAGCATCAGGAGACATTAACACTAGTGATGCTGCTGCTGGGGCCACAATCCTGCCTTTCACTGCTGGAGAAGGAGATAAGCGCGCTCACACAAAGGGAAGAGGGAGAGAGCATGAGAGGGTTGGCTTGCCTCCACTCCCCTCAGGCCAACAACCCCATTTACAGGTACAGCACCTCCTGATGAAAGCAAGAACAAAGAGGTGAATGTTCATTTCCTGCTGCGCTGGTGTCAAAGCTCCATTGAAACACATCGCTAAAACTGTGGATTTAGGCTGCTTTAGCTTTTTTGTCTCCCGGCTGCCAGAGGCAAATCACATCCATGCGACAGTGTTAACACTCTGGTTTCGATACACTTAAGAACGCTGGATTATTTCACAGAATCCATACATCTCTTTACATCAGATTACTGCATGAGGCTGTCGCATCCCATCACAAATGTACTTCTGTCATAATCATGTTGTTTCCATATATGTTAACTCCTGCTGTGAGAGCTGTGATTCATTCTTATGTAACCGGTGGAGTGTTTGAACAACAAGGAAAGGTCTCTGCCTACTAATTGCAAAGTAAGCAGCTGAAAGCAGCATGTGCACATTGTCCAGCCTGTGTAATGATCCTTCCAGTAAACATAATAAGCACACAGAGTGAGGCCAGAGGAGATGAGCCTTTGTTGTTGTTTAGTCTCGGACTTACAGTCGGGACAGTAATAAGGGGAAGGATCAGAGGGGAAGGGTGTCCCAAAGGTGGTTCCCTCCCTTTCTTCCTCCTCTCCGTCTCTCCCCGGCCTTACTCTGACTCCCCCGCGGAGGGCATGTAGAAGGGTCCTGAATAACAGGAAGTGGAGGGGCAGGAAGTTGAGTCTTGTCTGCCCACGGCCTGTGGTAGGATACTGAGGCTGACGCTGCCTTGCACAGGAAACGCATCTGTCACGGCTATGCTCAAGAGTTTGGCTGCTGTCCATCACCTTCAAAGAAGTGTAGGCATGCTTGCCTCACGTATTGGGTACTTCTTGAGCACAAGTCAAACAGGGCGAATGTTCAAATAGCTTCAATATATCAGGTTTTATTTGCACGTGAGACTAGAAAAGATTCTAGTGTCGTAGATTGGATGCAGTTTTATTATACTGCAAACATATAGAGTAACACTGGCCTCATTTCCTGTTCATTAGGTAACTCCAACATGAATATGCTGTGTAGATTTATATTACCTTTTTATATAGGACAACAGTTGAGGGAGTAATGCCTCAACTTTGTGTGGAGTGAACACAGGCTTGGAAGCGGAGGGGGAGGAGGAGGACATGCTGGATCCAGTAATTACACAGGGGATTGAGCATGTTTTATTGATTGTGAAAGGACCAGGGCTGTCACCAAGTCCTCCATTGTCTTCATGGGCCTCCTTTAGGGAGGAGCGGGCAGACCGGCCCTCCCGTCAATGGACCAGTCTCACACCTCGTCATGGAGGATCAGTGCGGGCTCTGGTCAGAAATCACCATAATGCATGTGTCATAGGTATACAGCATATTCCAGAACTGTGAGTGTGTGTTCAACACTAAGGCATAGACACGTCATATTGACTTTCTCTGCCAAGATAAAGTGCTCGTTCCTATGGCGACATATTTTCTGCACATTGATTCATGTCTTACTTGACACTCTTGCTGGAGTAGCGCACATCGTGGAACCAGGTGTTTGTGTCATGTAAATGTCCTCTTGAAGGGGATGGAATTAAGACTGTTACACACTATCCATCTCTGTACCTGCAAACATGCACTAGTCCTCTGATTAATGCATCCCAAAATGCACAGAAGGTTCATGATCTTAACTTTTAGAAATGCACTAAGGAGGTTATGTTTTCATCTGAGTTTTTATTTGTTTGTCTCTTACTAGCAGGATTATGCAAAAACTACTGTACAGATTACCAAGAAACTTAGTGGAAGGATGCAATATGGGTCAGGGGACAGATTCACCAGGACTTATTGTCACTTTGTTTAGAACTGTGAGATATGGCGTCATTTTTAAAAATTTGTTTTGCTTTTTAAATTTTTTTTAAAGAAATACTATGCAGATCTTTATGACAAAAATCTATCAACAGCTGCAATTTAGTGTGGATCTGGATTGAGTGAATAAGAAATTTGTATTATGGTGGCGATTTTTTATTCAGTTACTGTGCAATAACAAACTCTCATTTCAGCTGTATCAGATAATCAATACCTTCCTTATTTTCCAGAACATTTCTGTGCACTTGGTATATGTATCTCATCTAAACATGCAATATAGTGAAAAAATATCTGTCAGCCTTGGTGGAGGTATGTGCTCTCCTAGTACATCCTGTTGTGGGATTTTGCAGTTGTTAGGGGGTTTCTGTTCACACTGCACAGATATTAACCACATGGCTGTACATCTTTACTGTTGTGGCCACATTGCCTCGTGTTGTCCTGCTTCCTGACAATGTTTGCTTGCTTTCCTTTTCTTTTTTCTTTTTCCTCGTCTCCCTGTTTCTTACTCGCATGCAACACACACACACACACACACACACGCACGCACACACACACACACACACACACACACACACACACACACACACACACACACACACACACAGAAAGAGCACATGATTAAGACCATAAACAGATAGTCTGTCCCATTCCTGTGCTTAGAAGTCAGAACGTCACACCCAAACATGTACTCTGCCACAGTATAGACATTGTTCTTCTTTGTAAGACTGAAATTTCACTATCCAATCTACAGTGAATTATTTTGTGATATGATTAACGGCACTATTAGATTATAGTGCTTATAGTTGACATCCTGCAAATTAGGTTTTGTCAGCATCATGTTTTTAGCATTTAGATACATTTGAGACAAATGTGGACAATTAGTTCCGAGCCTGGCCCACCTGCAGCCTGAAGCCCCTCTCGGCTTGTCATTGTGTATCTGTCTTTGTTAGAATAAAAATCCCTATTTGCATGTAGAGGCCCAAATGCAAAATATCCACATGAGTGAAGACAAGGCGTCTGTTTCGACATTGTGCCATTAAATCAGATGCAAATAATCTCCACTCCTCAAAATTAAAGAAAAAACCCACAATCAATGTCTTTTATTATATTAACTTTATTAATTTATTGTGAATTCACCGGCAAACCTCCAAATCCAGTTAATGTACCAAAGGTTTTTAATATTACATAAAAACACACAAACTTAATTTAATCACTTTTTGTAACTTGCACCACTGCTGTGTTCAAGGTCAAATATGTCTTTTGGGGAGCTAAACCCATCCCTGACCTGACCTGCCTCTGATTCTAACACTGCTTTGTCAGTTTGTTTGAAATGGTGAAAGAACAAGAGCAGCATCGTTCTCCCTGACCTGTTGTGATGGAGTTCAGGCAGAAATTCATCTGAAGAGATCAGGCAGACACTTTCCTGGCTCTGACAGCCACGCGTGGGTAGTTAGTGAGGTGATCTCAGTCAAGGTTGCCTACAGCGGAGCCCTGTTTCAGAGAGCCAGACACCATAATGCCAGTCCATCTGTAACCGATAATGACTGTGTGCCACTGGAACTGGTCATTTTCATTTTCACTGCCAATTCGGCCCCTGGCTTTTCTCGCCTCACAACTGCTGACTGCATCTATGGCCTGAGTTGTTCACCTCTCGACATTTGTACTTATAGGGGAAATGTACTTGTTTAGACATTTTGTATTTGCTGGGCTTAAGTGATGGATGTACCACCAGAGAGGGGGCTATATTTCTTCTTGCAGAGAAGTAGAGACAGGACAGAGTTAGATGTTCCTCCGGGATCAGTGTGGTCTGAACCACTGGACAGGTTAGAAACATATGTGGGAATACACCCCCTCCCTCAACATCCCCTGTGGCTTCTCCAGCAGCCCAGGAGATTTCAGCTGCTGTCAACCCCAGACTGGGTGCTCTCTTAATCATCTTACTGTAAGAGCACAGCCTGCATGAGGGTGGGTCAGCGCAGGAAGAGCATGAAACCTCACTGTACTGTCTCGCAAGCAGGTGAAAGTAAATTAAAAGATATGCAGTAATTTGCTGGTGAGCTTAGCAAAAAGACTGAAGTTGCTTTTGGACATGCAATGAAGTCCGAACATTTTCCTGAAATTTATTGGAGGGGCTGTATGCGAGAATGTAAATGTCTGAGTCATTTACTTTGACATTTCCAGAACTTTTCCTGCCCTTATAAAATGTCATGAAAGTGTCCGAGTGAGCCCATGTGAGCATACAGCAGGAAAGTTTGTGAGAAATTCAGTGCGCAGACGCAAAACTGGTATGATACAAATATCTCAGTGTGAAAAAGAGGTGCCAACAATTAGAAGACGCAGAGGAAGATGTCAATTTGGAAACTCAAACAGATTCAAAAGCTTTTGGCATTAAGAGCCGATGACTCTGTCATTCCTGCAGGTTCCTCGCATATGCCACTTGCATGAATGTTTCAGAAATGTTCCTATTGTTGTGAATGCTTCTGACTCAGATAATCTCCTGCTGTGTTCTTCAAATGTTAATGACAAATCTTGGAAAATTTTCCAGACATGCCTGAAATCAAAATGAAAGATCGAAAAGAGGGAAAAGCTTGGATCTATGTGTAGACCAAATCATCTGACCCGCTCCCCTAAATCATACTAATTAATATCTCATGTCATCTGTATGCAAATGTATGCTACATCAGTAGCTAATGTATTTCAGTAATTAAGGTTATATGTTCCGTTCAATACAACTTGTCTGTGAATCTTTTGTAGCTGCTGCCCTTTAAAGAATGAAGCCATCTTTCAGTGACTTCACTTGTGGCTCAAGTGCAGCAGCTGAGGAGATACGGACATGCCATGTGGCTCTCATGCTTTCTGAATGTGCTTGAGTACAGAACGCAGAGCCCTCCGGTGCTTTGAAGTGCCTGAGGAGACATTGTTGAGTGTCAAGTTAACTTTCTGTCTCTCTCTCTCCTTGTTTCTCTCTAGGTCGTCCTGTGGATTGTGGCTTGGTCTTGTTAAAGCGCAAAGAGTGTATCGAGAAGAGTGAAAAAGCGAATATAAGAAGAAAGACTTTTGCACAATGTGCTAGGAGAGTGGAGGAAGAAAGAGTGTTGTTTTTCTGATATTGTTGAGGTGTCAGAGAGACCGGAAAGGAACGCAGCCATGGGGCGGAAGAAGATACAGATCACCAGGATCATGGATGAGAGGAACAGGCAGGTGAGTGTCATAATTTTTCTTTGTCATTGGACGCACAGAATCAATGTTAAATGGACTGTATATAGCACTCTTCTAGTCCTATCTGCCACTAAAAGCTCTTTATAGTACAAACCACATACACGCACGCAATCATATAGCAGTGCCTTTTTATCAGACCATTCATCATCAAGTTGGGGTTCAGTATCTTTGGACACTTAAATTTGACACTAAATTGTGAAATTGGAGGAGCTGGGGATTGAGCCACCAACCATTTGGTTAGTGGACAACCTTCTCTACCCCTTTAGCCCCAACCGCCATCAATCAATACCTACCTGCTTGCTCACCTACCTACCTACCTTACATCCCTGCATCCATCCATCCAGCCATCCATCCACTTTTTATATACTGCTCATATTCTCTGATACAGTATGTTCTGTACCTGTCTGGAGGTTACACTCTTGCTCCATTTCCTTGTTGCCTTGGACCAGAGTTCAGGAGCTGTCATAGTGTGCATGGATCTAAACAGACATACCTCCCTCCCCAATGTCCCAGTGAGCCGAACAGGGACCGTGACATTTCTTTGTCAGTGCGGTCATATTTACAGACATGATTCCCCTGCCACCCTGCAATTTCAGCCTGAGAAGTTGATGAGGCAGCAGGAGCGCTGGGCTGCAGCGGGGGCCTCATGGCGTGGGAGTGAGCTGAGGGTAGTGAGGAGCACAGCGAGATGACTGTGGCCTGGCCACACTGTAGGGCTTGTCCCCTGGCCTGGCAGTATGGCCTGGCCCCTTTCGCTGTAACTCTATGTGTTTGCAGCTGTTTGGTTGTAATTAGGAGCAGCCACCGCACCACAGCACCCTCTCATTTGCAGGGTGGGTCAGCAGGACACACAGCACCCTTCACTGCCTCGGTTACACTGGTCCTGGCTAGCCACAGACAGAGAGAGAACTGGAATTCTCTCTGTCTGCTCATGTTAAATATAAACTCCTAAACAGCAAAACACTGTAGAAAACAGCCTGCGTCTGTTTGAAACAAGAATAACAGACTTCGATATCTATAGCAGGAACACCAAGTCGACTTCTTTTTTAGATTAGCTCCCTCTGATTTAAAAAAATCCATGCAGCAGTTTTTGATAAATTATACCGATTGGGTTTTCTCTGTAGAACACATTGTGTTACCTCCTTCTCTATGTATAATTAGCATTCCTTAACAGGTGGAGCCACTTTTTGCTGGGCACACAGAAATATAATAGAGGTACGGTGGTGCTTCCTCTCCTCTGGGTATTAACATGATACCGTACTATCCAAATGGTTCTCTAACTGTGCCTCTATCTGCTGCTGTGAGGCTATAACGGCTCAGCCAAGTGTGAAACAAAAATCTTCAATGTGGGCCTATTGTCAGTACAACACCTGGCTCTGGGTGGGATCCAAAACGAAGGGCAGGAGAGGAATCCCTCTTCCCATTGGTGGGAATTAGCAGGTGTACACAGGTTCTTTAAACCTGGGTAAATTCTGCAGAATCATTTGACCCTGGAGTGAATGCTGATTGTATCCATTTCCATTGCATCCAGATGTTAGCAGGGTTTTTTTTACCTGTGGGAAAAGGGCCTGAAGTTAACCCATCAAATGACCCACTTTGAACTGAATGTATGAAGGGAGTGAGGGAAGATATGTAGCTCTATTGTGTCACAGAAAAGTGGAGCAGCAAAGGGCAAGACATGTCTTATTACTGGTGTGTCTCCCAAAGTCTGGTGTTTGCATCAGATTTTAAATTTCTCACTGTTAATTTATAAGAAGTTTATCAGCAGAATGCAGGCATTCCAGCTTGCGTTTAGTTGGTTTTAGCTGGCTCAGCAGAGAAGCTGCTATGACAATAGGCCACTGTGCTGAAATAAAGCTTTGGTATAAAGTGATGTATGCATGTGTGTCTTTCTGTCTTTTTTTTCCTGTGGGCCACAAAGCACACAGTGGCATCTCCCTGGGGCATGCTCCGAAGCAAGGGGAAATAACCATTAGCATATGGTCCCCATTGTCACGAGCCAATTTGAATCTTTATCTGCACTGCTCTGATACTTGCTATCCATACTCTTAGTGTTAAAATGAAAGGAGTCCTTAAGTGGGCTAATTAGATAGCATTGCTATACAGGATGCTGTGTGGGGACAGTGGGGGCTCCCTTGCATTATCACCTCAAGTGTTTTAGGAGGGCTGTTAACCTTTCAGGATTTATAACATGGAGTGTGGCACAGGCTGAGAAGGTCTGTAATTGCACAATCTATCAGGAATTGTGAGTGTAGAGGTGAGATGGGCGTTTTTTATTTGGCTTCAAGTCATTACCAACAGGGAATTCTGACAAGCCATATTGTCTGGGTCAGACACTTTCACAAAAACAGGAAAATATCTGGAAAACTCCAGTGACGGGTTGCGCCTGGGTACAGCATGCCGGGGGCGTGTTTACGTCACATTGACAAGGCCAACAGCCCTCATCAACAAAAGCTCTTGGATCTCGTTGCCTTTCCAAGTTGACAACTTCGCCAGTGTTTTCTACGCGTATGGCATTTTTTTTTCATCCTCATATATTCATATTCTTATTGTTGTTTTTTTCAGTTTCATGTCCGTTGCATGTTAAAAACATCATCAACATCATATCTATTTTTCTTTTAACAGTCGACCCAGATGAACCAGTAAAATTTCAAAAACGAGAGGAGCATCTGTTGTGTTTGTCTTGACAGATTGGGAGCTCATGAACCACAGAAAATAACAACGTTAGAGCCTGTGGTACCTGCTTCTTGGAGCAGCTGTCATATATAAATATACAGTATGTGTGTGTGTGTGTGAAGGAGGGGTTTTGAGGAGGGGAGGGTGCACATCAGTCTTGTATATTAGTGTAGGGGAAAGGCCGGTGTAGCCTAGCGAGCTGTGTCTGGTGACGTCCTCTGGATGCCATTAAGCAGGCTCACTGGGGGTAATTGCCCAAGTCATTAAAAGTTTGATGATTTTGCTGCTGGGTGGAGGGTTTGCCTGCCCTTGCTGTGGCTCATTTTTGAATTTGCTCTGGCACATCAAATGCCCGTGGGCACAGAGCACTTTTCTCTCACTTTCTCTCCAGGGAGCAGCACAGTGCACATCTCCCATTTTTTAAAAGTCTTCACCCATTACTAAGTTCTGACTGGTCACCATTATATTGTGACAGGTAAAGAGCTTATTTAAAGACAGTGGAAAGAACTGAGTGACGCTGTTAAATGTTACAGCTAGTAAGTATATTATTATTATGTGTATGTGGTATGTCATTTCCAAAAAACTACACATAAGCAGCAAAACAAGAAGTTGGTGGTGTCAAACATAGACGTTGTACCCTGTAGAATTATCCATCCAGCCCTCCACCCATACATCCATCCATCTATACATACTGTTCATCTATACCACTTATCCTTTGGGGGTTACAAGGGAGCCAGAGCCAATCCCAGAACACATTCACACCTTCAGACAAATCCAAGAGCCTAAAATTATTTGATTTTATAAACGCATCACTCTCAAACCTCCCTATTGCCCCTAAACCAGTGTTTTTGATGAGATGTATTTCTAGTTAACCTACTGATGTTTTATTAACTAGCTTGTCATCGTCTCCACAAAGCAGGATCAGTCACGGCTACCGTAGGTTTCAAGGTCAATCCCACCCAGTGGACAAGGCCTTCACGCCCTCCATTGTCCACACGGGAAACCTGGGGCTGTCCTCTCTCCCAGCGAGAGCTGATAGAGGCAGACAGTTGTGGTGGACCTGGCCTGTCTCCCAGGCCAGCACACTCTGGCACCGCGTAGCCAGGGCAGCAGCCACAGGGCCCGGGTCACTCTGCCAGCTGGTGCCAGACTTCTATGTCTCTCAAGCTGGCTCTCATATCTGCCACAGGGGCCATCAGAGGTGGCATGAGGTTCTAATAAGGCCGCTAGCTCGTCACCCCTCCGAAGGTGTTAGTGACTCAGGCATCTCCTGCCATGTCCCAGTCACAGCTGCACTCTCAGTCCCAGATGTCTTGTTTGTCATCTTGGCACGTCGGCCGGAGGACAGACATTGATAGACCCTTTGATTGACACATCAACTCTGTGTGGATGTGTGTGTCGGTTATGTTATATCCCAGTGGAGGAAGTTATATAAAATTATAAAACAAATTGTCTATTGCAGTAAAAGCAGGCTATAGCTTGCTATAGATTTAAGATGCATATATCTGAGGATCTATTGTGTAATTTTACACATACATGAAGAGTTGCATTAAGCACAGCCAGTTAACTTTGCATTGTACTTTACCAACCTAGCGGGTTTAATTTATATCCCAAAGACGACTATAACTGCTGAGCCAAATTGGCTTGTTGCTTTTTATGTGAGATTCTTTATCATTTCCCCTTGAGTGTCATTTTGTAATTTCCAGTGAAGGAAGATTCCCACCAGTGACCACTTAAATTGGGATAAATATGGTGAATCTATGCTGTTGCTAAGGGGGCTGCAGCACCACTCTGATATTGACTGATGCGATGGCCATAGTTTTACAGAAACATCTTGGGTATTGTAGTGTTGCCCAAAATACCAGTTTAGATCCTGTTAGCCTGCAAAGCTCTTAACTAAAGTATAAAAGATATGCACATAAGACCTGGATTACCAAGCTCAATTAAAGCTCAGGAAAAACATTGGATAGTGGGGCACCTGGGAAAAAGTCGGAAATGTGGAGAGTCTGACTTGAGAGCAGAATTACCACCTCAACTGGACATTGTGAGAGTAGTGTAAAAGGTCAGAAGTTCCAGCTTGCTAAAGTCTAGATGAAATGCTAGTGTAGTTAGCGATGTGCCTTGTACTGTGTGAGCTGCTATGATGACCTTATCAGATATGGAGAACGTTCAAATCCCACGAGATCGTTGGAAGACCAAAGGTGGCCTATCTTCCTTTTTCGCTGAGACATTTGATGCCTTGGAACAGCTGTGAGATGCAGCGGTACAGTGTGTTGTACAACTCTGACGCTAATCCTGTCACTGCGAATTACATGAATTAGTCAGGGAGCTCGACTACATGTGTTTTACATCTGACCATAGGAGCAGCTCAAAGTTTTTTGAGTGTCTTTGTGGGTGTCTTTGACTTGGTTGAACCATAGGACCACTCTGCCAGTGAACCTCCTACTTGACCTCAAGATGTCTGTGGTTTTCCACTGTCTCACCAGTCACCCCAGAGAAGATGGGGGTGGATAAAGGTTATATTAGTGTGTGCTGCTCTTTATGCTCAGGGTGGTTTTGTGTCATATCTACACATATTATATGTCCTATAGCTAAATAGCCAACTTCTATGCCAATTAAACAGGTTTTCCGTCAGGTCTTAGGAAGTCTAAAGTTTATAAATCTGAAGTTTGGGCCTTAAAAAGTCTTAAAGTCATTTTTAACTTCTTTTTAAAAAAGAGAAATGTTCACATGTATAGTTTCCAATATCTTGATGTATTGTAGTTCTCAATGATATAGATATTAGCACACTATAATAAAACTACAGACAAGCCCAACATGGAACTGACAACTGGTCAGGATTGATCTCAATACACTTGACTACAGTCTCTGTCTTTAGTATGAGACTGGGACACTTATATTCCTTCATAGCGGACGTACTTTACATAGGTCCTAACTTGCACTTGTTAAAACCTTCAGAAATCCTGATTAATTAACTGCAAAGAGTTGAATGGTAACACCTTCAATGGCAGCTGGCTTTAGGTTCTGTGTCTGTAACTGGGGCCAGGACCAAGTCTCAGAGCTGCTGAGGTTGAAATGAAGCGGTGCCTGGGTCAGCAGCCCTGCACTCAGCACTCTGCCATCCATCCAGGTGGAACAAAGTCCTCACTCAGCGTCTCATCCTGGGCTTCCTGCTGAAAGGTGACATCTCCGTGGCTTAGCGGCCACATTCATCTGCTAAAGAGCATACAATTTGCTAATCGTTTTACCCACTCGTCAGTCCGTCCCTGCTTTCCAATTGGTTTGGCAAGCAAATAAATATGCAAGCAGGCAAATGGGTGAGTGGGCTGCCTCAACGCTTTATCAGAGGAGACAAGCATCAGCTGGTGAGAACAACAGGTGCAGTAACCGGATAGAATAGACATAAAACTGGTCACATGCGTTATCTCCTTGTCTGATTCTGTGCAGAAATCCACCTCGAGAAACCAGTTGGAGCAACAAAACCAAACCATGATTTTTGTTTTCAACCAAGATTCACTCTATGTCTGCGATTTGCAAGGAAAGATGTCATTTGATTCAACTTCTCCTGTTTTTAAACCTTGTCATTTCAAGAAATGTTATTTCAGAATTTGGTTTGGTTTATAAAAGCTCGGCTAACATCAGAGCACAGGATAGAAAATTACATGAGAAGCAGCTCCTCCGTGTCTCGAGTGGGAATAATGGTCCTGTGTAATTACCTGTAGTGCGGAAGATTTGAAATTCATTTATCTCAGCTGGAGTGACCCGGCTGCCTGAGTGGTTACATGGGCTCCATGCAACACATAGGATTATGCTGCATTATAACGGTTAAAATAAGGGTACAGCCGCAAGCTGTGACCAATTAAAGTTGAAAAAAGCTTGCTCATCTGCTCAACTCTTCGCTTAGTAGGTCAGTGAGACTGATGGAGAATACAGACACATGCACTCCTCTGTGGCTCAAAGCTTTTACCAGCACACTCAGGAGGCACACAACAGAATACACATTTGACAAGAAACATGCCAGATAAACATAAACCCGGAGCCCTGGTTTCAAATGCACAAATTAAAAAAACTACATCCTGCAATCAGCTATTAAAAAAAACCAACAGAGAGAACAGCTGCCTTTCTGTCCACCATACTTGTGAAGAATGTTTTTCGCTTGCAAAGTGAGTGTTGCATACTGTAAATAGATGGCGTAACATAATGACATGTGTGTATGGGCGACCACAGAGACAGAGCTGCAGAGATGCAGGACATAAAGTCACTTTGCAGGGAGGGTTTGCGTTACCATCGCAGTGATGTATGACCCCAAGTCCCATCTGAGGGCTCATGTTACGAGGGTTATGCTGCGCTACAGAGATAGCTTTCCGTATATGGAGTCAGGGGCTAAAGTAATGTACAGACCCCTGTTGTTTCCAAACCTCTGACTCAGCTCGCTGACTCGTGCGTCTTAGCTCGACCTCTGGCCTGATAACTAGACATTTCAGACACACACACTGTTATTGCAATCATCCCTAAAGGAGGGGCGATCTTGTTAACTGTCACCTTGGTTACAGAAACATTGTTGTCATATAATGAGACCATTAATACTCGTATTTTCCTGGCTTACACGCTCCAGATGAGAGTATGGGTTTGTTCAGTTTCAGAACTCTTTGGTTGGACTCTTTACTGTACTCAGATTTATTACATATCTTGATAAAAGTTTTATAAACGAGCAGCTCTACAAAATGTCTTTTACATTTATATGACAAACTTTAAAACTTTATTCAAGTTAAGATTTTTACATTTAACAGATAATGATGATATAAATAGTTAAAATTAGCTTCACCTCCACAAACTACAACACTAAATAGCTGCTAGCACATTAATACAGAATACAAAAAAAATCCAATGTTCCATTATGAGTATTTTACTTACTGACAATATATTTGTAACTTTTATTCTAGTACATCAGAATGGAGGACTTAGAATTTTATAGTAGGATTTCTACACTGTGTTATTGCTCTTTTTAATTCTTCCACCCCTGACAATTGCTGTACACAACAAACATGTCATTGGAGAAATAAACTACTGAATACGAAGTTTACTTTTATGTTCACATTTTCTCTTTGTTCACTTCCCTTGAGCGAAACCGTTTTCCTCTTCAATGGATGGTTTTTGCTTTCTGTGTGTTCCTCAGGTTACCTTCACGAAGAGGAAGTTTGGCTTGATGAAAAAGGCGTACGAGCTGAGCGTACTGTGTGACTGTGAGATAGCCCTCATCATCTTCAACAGCTCTAACAAACTGTTCCAGTACGCCAGCACTGACATGGACAAAGTGCTGCTGAAATACACAGAGTACAATGAGCCCCATGAGAGCAGAACCAACTCTGACATTGTAGAGGTGAGTGTCGCTTTCCTACTTTGCAAAGAAAAACTTCCCACCATGCCCCTTTTACCCTCACTGCAATCCAGTACTTTCTCTTCTCCACTGATATTAAAATTCAGAAAAAACTAAGACATTTACTTTAATTTTAGGGCTGGATTCCCACTGTAAAACATATTTAGCCTTAAAAGCTTTGTGGTTGATGAAAGGGTAACAGACAATTGTGAGGAACAAATAACAGTTTCCTTCTCGTCACCATTCAGATAGGCCACAGGAGGTCTGCACTCTCTGATAAGTTCAGCGTCTCTCATGCCCATCAACGGACGTGAAGAAGCTATCTCTGCTCATGCATGCACACATTAGCTGCTGACCGCCATTATGACCCTGTTTCCCATAGATATTGTACCTGTAAGGCTCAGTTCTCTGGTTATTCCTCATTACAGACAAGTATTTCAGTGAAAATACAGTGTTTAGTACATTCCACGCTCCTCTATAAAACTCAACAAACATTTTGGGGTTTTCCTGGCAGCCTCTGCGTGCCCGGCCACTAGCGGAAGAGTAATCCACTTGTTATGCCAGTTTATAAAATTGTCAGCCAAAAGTGTAAAAGCCAGAGTAAATGAGAATGATTAGAGATACATCATGTTCCAAACATCTTTTATTGGCACATGTGTGGCTCATTCAAGATCGGCTTTAAGAGGCAGGTATCTAAGCTGACTAAATAAAAGCATGTACAATGTATGTTAATGACTATTGATAACCAGTTTCCCCTTCATTTTTATAGCTCTTATTTGAAATAATGTTTTCTGCACAAAGACTGCTGCATTGCAACACTCTGGTTTTGTTACAGCCACCTGTCCACTACAACATACAGCATTTTTATTATAGCTCATCTAGTAAGAGACGCTAAGATGGTGGGTGAGATTGAACATTTTCAAGAATCCCAGTTTTGGAAAAGACTTTCACTTGGAGGAATTAGTGAAATTACATGCAGCATAAAGGAGTCAGCTGTGGCCCATTATCTTTTATTCATGCTGCTGCTGCTGCCTGTGAATTACCTGCTTGGCAGAGCTGCAGAAGAGTGCTTTGGCATCCAGTAGACTCATGCAGTCACTCCACCATCAGGGGCCCTCGGAGCTGAGCAGGGGCTCACCTGCATAAAAAATACATGGATACATTCCTTACTTACATAAGAGTGACCACGAATTTGTGTTTGCCGTGACTGGAAGCTGTCTTACTTTAAACAAGACTTTTGCTGCAAGCACATTCCGGTCCCTATCAGCTGGGTCATTCCCCTCGCACTCTTCTATCACATACATCTCTGGTCAACTGATGTGTGTTTATGTTGATAGCGCAGAGTAATTGCAGTGTACATTGTGCGTTATGTTGCTCCAGGGGTCCCAAGCTGATTTCCCACTTAGCCCTTCTGGCTACTCTCAAGGAAGCTGCCCCGCTGCACAAAAGGCGAGAACAAGCCGCCGTTGTCCACGTTCACTTGGCCAGCATCTTTGCAGATATGCACAACACCCCCCTCCCTTCTGCCTGCTGGCTACGTGGTCAAGTTTCAGAAGTGAAGAAGCAGAGCAGAAGTAACCAACCCGGTCCACATCACGACATCGCCATATTACCCCACTCTTCATTCGGCAGGAGAGCTTGTGTTGAAGATGGTGGATAATATGTTGATTTGCTCATACATTAAGAGGAATACGGAATCTCCCCTTCTGATTTGCGGTCGTGTGCTTCTACACAGCTGCACAGATCCTCCTACACAGCACAGAGGAGTTGATGCATTTGTAATGATGGGAAGAATCTACCCCTCCCCCCGTTTATCTAGCGAAATGCGCCTCACATGAGGACACTTACACTGGACACTTATCTAAATTTTTAAATTGCGTTAAACCAATCTTTTGCCATGCAAACAATCATGTGCTCATTTGTCCGGTTTGTGAGGGCCAGAAAAACCCTCTCACACTGTTATTTGCTGGGAAGCTGGTTCAGTGTGAGAAACTAAATCAGAGGTCATGGTGCCGCTCGGTAGTACCATCTGTAGATAAAGGCTGAGCCGTGCGGTGTGGGAGAGCAGGCTCCATGTTTTCCACAGATGGATGCATGCCTGGGCCACAGTGTGATAACCCAGTGGAGGGCTGTGGACTTTGTCTCAAACTTGGCTCACTGTCCAAAGCAGAGCAGTAGGCTCAGATTGTTCTTTTATGTGTGTGTGTGTGTGTGTGTGTGTGTGTGTGTATATTTTGGTATCAATGTTGCTAACGCCCCAGGCGACAGGTGAACTACTGTATGAAATCTGTCCTTTTGCCACGCAAATGTTCCTTAATTTTCTAAACAATATTCAGTTGTGTTTTATTATTTTATCTATGCTCACTTTTGTTTTACTGGTCTGTTAAAACAGCAACATCTGCAATTCCAACTAAAACAAAATACACTCCTGCCAATCAGAGCAAAGAAAAAACATGTTTCCTGATCACCACACAAATGATGCTTTCATCTTAATATCATACTCATCACTGGACATAAATGCAGTATTCAGTAGGGTTGTGTACCAGTGAGGAGTGTACATGACCGATGAAGTTCTACGGTGTGGCCTCAATTGTGCGTTCTATCAAATTCAGTTTATACTGCAAATGAAAACACTGCTGTTAGTCATTACATTAATCTAATAATATTTACTCTTCCTCCCCTCTCCGCTACTGGAGCTAATCTGATTTCGCTTACGCTCTACAACAAACCTCACACCGTTCTCCCGCGCACAGAAAGACCCCTTTGTCCCCGGCAGAAACCGTAAAAGCAGTCCGTCACTTCACAGACATCATTTGTCATCTATGTGTCCTCGCTTTGAGCAATTCAGGTATATAATATGGATTAGGAAGAATCAAGTTTGCAGGCACATGGAATCAACATTAAGCCAACACTTAACTGTAATCTTATAAAATCAGGGTTGTGAATAGGCTCTAACCCAATTTGTGAATGCAATTTTAGACAAATACCGATGCTTCCCTAATTGTCAATAACTGGACTGCATCATATGCAGAGAATTGACTTTTCGCTGCTCCTTTCATGTCTTTTACCCCGAAGATTTGTGAGAGTAAACAATCTGGGATCATTCATAGGGAAATTCTGCTTTTCTTCCATGTGTTATATATGAGTGGCCATTGTTGACAGCATTCATAAAGAAACCGTCCCCTTTTCGCTAGACCCCCACAGTAAGAGGAAATAAGCATTAAATAGTCAGGTAATTGAAGTTAGGCTTTGTGATAAATGGGGCTGTGATAATCATTCAATAAGATATGTAAATTTTGACCATTACTGAATGTCAAGCCCTGTGTTTTCATCTGAATCACACAAGAATCCTTTTTTGTGTTTGTGATAATCTCTCTGCCCTTTGCAGATTTTAGACTGTCAAAATCTACATGCACAATCAGCACAGTGCATTGTATTAATTATTATTAATGTTATTGTTATTATTATTTTACCGCTTCACTAGTGCATTTTCAGGGACTTGCAGCTCAAAGAAATAATATTTTTTTACTATTGCTAGTTATGGAATAAACCACTTAATAAAAAGCTCTGGGCTGAAGGAGTTTCAGACAGGGGGTGTTTATGTTGTCAATCAAAGGCTGAGTAGTGATTAAGACTCATTTCTATCCTAATGAATGCAAATTGGCACATCTGCTATGGTGGGCTAGCTGTCCAGACTCTTCAATTAGCATGATTGATCAATTATCCTGCTGCTGGTAGCGTACTGGAAATGGAGGCTGCATCAGGGAATGGGGTCGGGAGTTGGGGGGTAGGAAGAGGAGATGAAAGAGCGTGAGGGGAAAAAAAGGAACAGGAAACTTTAACCTTCGATCAATAAATGAGATTCTTTATTTGATTAGAGTAATAGAAAGAGGCCTCTCACCTTTTACAATTTGGTAAATACAAGTATTAAGTTTACAAGTATCAGAGGTCTATCTTTTAAAGTGTTGTATGCAAAATACACAACATTGCCTTGCATTATTTTTAAACCCATCTGTTTCTCCATCAGCAGTATTCTGATCAGATATTCCTCAGGGAGAAAAAACAAGCTTCAGCCATGCAAATATTTACTATCAATGTGCCTTCAACTCTGAATCCTGCTGAGGATATTGTGTTTTGCAGTTTGTTTGTGCTTTAACAGTAGCAGCACAAATCGTTGACTATCAAAGCACACATGGTGAAACTACACTAAGCAAATTGTCCTGAGTGTGTTTTTTGTACAAACGTGACACAGAAACATAAAAGAACAGTCAAATGAGGCTCTGGCTGGTGCACATGCATATTACATTTCACACATATCATGCTATGTAATTCTTTTTGTAGTGCAGTACTCACTTTTCACAATTAGCAGCGTTTTATTACAAATAACCTTGAGCCATTTTCAAATCTCGCGTATCTCTGAAGATCTTTTGTCCTGCGTGGATGTGAGTATGTTTTTTTGTCTCTGTAGCTCTTGTGCGCTTCTAATGCTATTTTCTGACATCTGTTTATTCTGGGAAAGTAATTCTTGGCGTTTTAACAATTTTAATTTAAACAAGGCTGCAGCTCAGTTTATTCGTCCATATGTTGACAGAAAAATACAATAACTGTAATCATGAAATTCGGATTTTCTTTTCCTTCTTCTGTCTTGACATTGGACCCGTGGATGTAAATTTGCTGTGTTGCGCAGCTCTCCACTGTGACTGGGTATCATCTTCATTATCCACAGATTACATGTGGACATGTTAAAGTCCATGAGGTTTTAAAAATAAGCATTTATCTATTTCACAGAATGTCAAATAAACCAGTTACATTAGAAGATCTTTACAGTTAGATACAGTCGAGTCGCTCTCTTGCTTTTTCGGTTTTTCCTTAATGCAAGTTCAGGTCCTCTGAGAATCATAGGTGTGTTCTCTGCTCTGTTTT